CTGATGTTTTGATCAATAGCGCCTGGGAATGATGATCCTTCTTGGACAGCATGGGCAACGCCAAGACTACCAAATGGGTCTTAACTATATCAGCCTTGCTGCGCAGTCCTGCGACGAAAATGCGCCTCAGGGAGCTTACGTGCGTCCGCCTACTTATCCTCTTGGTGACCAGAGCTCTAACATGTTGTGTAGGTTTACGGTATGCTTTTGGCACGAGAGCTGCCGCAGGTAAACGTTCCTGAGCAGTTCTTGCCGCTGGATCTGAATGCTGCTCGCGTCAACATCGAGAAGGCTGCTTACCATGGCTTTGCTAAGGCCCAAGTCAAGATGGGTGCGGCCTATGAACTGTGCCAGCTTAGCTGTGATTTTAACCCTGCATTGTCCTTGCACTACAACGCGCTGGCTGCACGCCAAGGCGAGCCAGAAGCGGAGATGGCTATCAGCAAATGGTTCCTCTGCGGCCATGAGGGGGTCTTTGAAAAGAATGATGAATTGGCGTTCATGTATGCTCAACGTGCGGCTCAAAGTGGGTTCCCCACCGCTGAGTTCGCCTTGGGATATTTCTACGAAGTCGGTATCTTCGTTCCGGTGGATATCAAAGAAGCCAGGAGCTGGTATGCCAAAGCTGCAGCAAATGGAAACAAAGACGCGACTGGCCGGATCGATAGCATCTCGCGCTCCAAGACTCTATCGAGGAAGGATCATGAACAGGTTGCGATTGCCCGGATCAAGTCGACTCGCTATGGCAATGGCCCGCGAGGGCCCCCGATGAAACCGCCTCAGGAGAATCTCGAAATGCCCGATCCCTCCAGAATGACTCTATCAGATAACCCACCCGCCGCGCCTGCTCCTTACCCTGACAGACCGGGATCTCGTGCTCGACCTGTGTATCCGCCAGGATATCCCATGAGTGCGGACCCCCGGCCAAGTTCTGCATTTGGAATCAACCCGAATATTCGGTCGAACGCGCCGAACTACAACCGTGCTGCTTCGTACGGGCCTAGCGTCATGGGATACCGCTCACCAGGCCCCAGTACGCCATCAACGACTAGCCCCACAAGCCCAGCATCGGCGGCACCTAAACTCGATATTGGCTACTCAGCACCCCTCGAGAATCCTCACCCCGATGCTCGCAGACGTCCTCAGCGACTGGACAACATGCCTCCCCCAGACAGGAGACCTGTGCGAGGCCCTGCTTCTCCCCACTCCCAGGGTGGACCGACGGGCTCTCCTAGGCCGCCTGCCTCGCCTTCCACCGCATATCCCCCACGGACTGAATCCATGCCGCCGCCCGGTGCTGCAGCGACGCCCCGGCCCTCATCATCATCTGCTTCCACACCTAAGCCTCCTCCCTCAACTTCGACTCCCAAGCCTCCCTCCACGGCTTCAAGCACATCTAGCCAAAAACCCGCACCCGCTAAACAGCATGGTAACCTGCCAGGCAAGGGCCCCAAAACATTCGAGGAGATGGGTGTTCCGACTGTCCAGAAAGACAATGATTGCGTATGTAACCTCCTTTCTTCAATATCTCAGATTTAAAGACGCTGTCATCAAGCTAACTACGCGCAGATCGTCATGTGATACCCTTGAAGATCTCTTACTTTTGGTCTTTCTTCATCTGTGCCATATTCGAAAGGACAAAAAAATTTGGGGAGTGGATTTTTCTTTATTATATTTTTTACTTCTCCCTTGCGTACAGGATCTATTAATGTAGATGGTTTGGAGTGTTGGAAAATTGGATGGTCAGTAGACGAGAAGATGCATAGTGTTTTCTTCCCGTGTCTTGGGCCATCTAAGGATTGCATATGTCGTTCACCCTGTTGTCCTGAATCTTCCCTTTTTTACTCCAGTTTGCTCTTGGATGTGATGTTTTGTTTCGGTATCATGATTTACATGCAACGGCGTAGGACCAAGTATCTTGCAGCATGACCAGGCCTTTGTCTGTCCTTTCTCTTCTGGCCCCTCCACAATTTCAGCTCGCGTGTTTAGCCTGCCTGAAGGCAACAGGTTTTTTTTTTTCTAGATAATTTTAATCCACTACCTTCCATTTCCAGATGAGAGCCCTGTCGTGTGGCCCACGTGATGATCCAGGCATACAACGGGCCTATCATTCGCTGAATCCCACATATTATATCTTGGTTTATCCTTCCCGAGTCTCTCTTCAATCTTGCTCGCAAGAATCCGAGCAACGCAATCCGACCTCTCCATGGCCCAGAGAAAGGCGAAAAATGAGAAGCAGCTGGGTTCCGGATGTGAGCAACTCACAATTTTTGAAACTACAGTTGAGCTGGCTTATGCACAGCTAACAAAGTGAATTTGGAAAAGCCGCTGCTCCTGATGGTTCTGCATTAGTGCTAGAGTATCTCCGTGAGCTTACTCCACCATTTGCTAGTCTGCTTGCTCTGAGGAGTCTTGTAATTGTTGACCGTGCTTGCTTGCTAGGAAAACAAAAGTATAGATCTCTTCCACCCAGTTGATTAGGCTGGTGGGCATTGTTCATTTAACTAATATGTTGTGGGCTGTCAACGAGACAGTCGTCCTTATTCGGTTGGTTTCCATCATGATATCAATGATGGTGATAAAGGAGGGTAGGGAAAAGTCTTCCACGGCTGATGTACGGCAGGCTACCGAGGTTTCGGTGAATCTGCACAATAAGATTACAAAAGGTAGGCTCCTTTCTACCAAGGCGAGACCTTTGTGAGAGTTACATGCTAAAGCTGTATATATGATAGCACACGCTGCGAAAGCTCTACGGGAACTACATCAGAATAAACAAATTGAAGGACGGGCTGCTGGTTAGTAGACCACAAGCAATATAAGGATAAATGTGCAATGGGATGGAACAATTGATTCGCGATACATTAGGGAAACAGATAGTATATCACGCCCTCCAGGAGACGTCCACCGAAGTGACGCCCGAGATCATTGCAGCTTTGGATGAGCAGGCTGAGAAACTGCAGGAGCAAGTAACCAGTCTCGAAGCTGCAGAGAAAAATACGCGAGTGGAGCTAGCAACCATCTGTGCAAGACCCTTGCTCTCCGAACTTCGACGGGACGTCGGTCAGTTTGAGCAAGAACATGAGGCAATCCGTGCACGCCTGGTGCAGGCGCGAGGGAGCGACGCAGGGACTGTACCCGTGCAGGTGAAAGTGGATGCTGAAAGAGACTGGAAACATTGGCAGAATCAGGCCAAGGTGCGCGGTCGGATTTGTCGCGATCTATGGCGGATGTGTTCGGAAGTTGTGCCCGACAACATGGGCCGAGAAGAACTATGGGTAAGATGGATGAACACCACTGGTCTGCATTGATATCTAGACACGCTGACGATGTCGAGGTGAAGGAGAATCTGGGATTGGAGGGACCATTTCTCCAGTGATGATGAAATTGAGAGGCAGAGGTCTACCTGTTCGACCTGGTCACAAGCAAACACTGGTCCACAATCCTGAATCTTCCTATGGCCATTAATACTATACACTGTATGACCCGTGATTTTAATTCAATGGAAATTACTATTGCTCAATCGGGCATTTGAAAGGTTTACGGAGTACACAGTACATGGTACATACATGGTACGGAAAAGATGCAGATGTTGTGCCACCAGCTACAACGTGAGAGTGTGGGGACGATCCGATAGCGAGGACTAGATATCTATCTGGCTGATCGGCAGCCGCTCCGCCCTGCGCGGGATCAGGAGGGTGTGATTTGACGAGCAGAACCCGAGGAGAGCTAAACATCCTAGGCCGGGGAGCTGTTTTGAGGCAAAAAGCTAGGGCCGCAAGATGGGGGTTAGGGGGACGATCAGATGAACAATCCGACAGGTGTCATCCGAACGAATAATTGGATGATCTTCATGGTTCAACAAGGAACAGTGAAGCATGGGGCTGTCAACTGAGGGGGAGGAAGGAAGCATGCGACACAGTCAGGAGCTGTTGCAGACTCGATCTGACGCCACCAGGGAGGCTTTTGACGCCGGTTTGCCTTTCTGCATCGGGAGACCGTCATGCGCCCAGGGCCCTGCGTTGTTTTGGCACAAAGAGACACAAGGCGTGAAGTGATGTTGGGTGATGGACGTAAATCTTCCATTGTAGTAGCCAGCATGAATGTCCAGCAATTGGATTTCCGAATTGTACTGTATGGAGAGATATGTGGAGATCGTACTAGAGAAGGGTGAGGAGGAGAGAGGGGGGTGTATGGTGGAAAGGTAGAAGAGAAAGAGGGGGGAGGACAGAAAAAGGGAAAATTAGTGGGGAGGGTAAAAAACGATCAGAAATTCAAGATTGAGAGTATTTGAAACTAAATAACTAAATAGTTGCAGCTTTCTTAATCACCGTCCATCCATGTGGTTTCCCTCCTCTCCCTCTTTAGAGTAGAAGTCTGCCCGCTCTCTTCCTCCTGAAGCTATTCATTATTATTCACTCGAAAAGTCAACACTTCATTTTGTTTCAAGGATTTCGATAGGACTAAATTGATTGCAAGATTCTGCCTGACATAAACTAAAAAAAATATCTCAAAGTTTTGGAGGCAATCGGGCAACTACTACGTACATACGTACTAAAACGAGAGATGTAAGCATTCCCAACCGGTCGGGAGACTTGAGACTTGAGAACTAATTGTTCACAATCTAGAGAAGTGAAATAAAAAAAAAACACCCTTCAAAGTGAACTATAACTATTAATTTAATTAATTCACTTTGCGACTACACCGCCAAAGCAGGCGTGGTTTCTCTCTCACTCTACTTTTTCGGTGATCTTCTCCTCCTCCTCATCCCATCATCCATCATCCATCAATCCCCACCAGCAAAAACCAAGCCGTGGAAATCTCGCCCCCCTCCTCCTTCCCTCCCCGTTCCACCGATAAACCCCTCCGGATTTTTGTGCTCTTCGCCGCCCGCCGTCTTCTGCCGCCGCCGAACCCAACGCCGCTAATCTCGTTCGCTGCTACTACTACTACTGCTACTACTGCCAAACTACTGCCAACTGCTGCTGCTGCTCTTTCTGGCGATGCAGCTGTCGGCTTCTCGCAATCCTCCACCTCCGCAACCCCTTCCTTCTTCTTCCTCTTCCTCCTCCTCGTCCTCTCACGCTGCTCGTCCTCCACCCCGTGTATCGGGTGAGATGAAAAGCCGCGCTCCTCTCCCGGTCCCCTCCGGCCCACAGGCTCTCCAGAACGGCCATTCCCGCAACGTCTCGGGCTTCGACATGGCTGCCCGCAGCCCTCCTAACCAGAGCAGTATGTTGTCTCCTATCTTACTCGTTCTCTGCCTTCCCCCCATCCCCGGCCGCTTCGCACTGGCACGCGAGACTGGTCGATTCCTCTGCACTCCAGACGGTCTCTCTCACGCTCGTCCCGCTCGTCTCCATGGCTACTCGGTCCATTTACCACGAGTCTTAATTGAATGCTGACTTGAAGGCAACTGTCGCGCAGACACCAAGCATGTGCCTTGCAAGTTTTTCCGTCAAGGAGCTTGCCAGGCCGGGCCGGCATGTCCCTTCCTCCATTCTACCGATGCTGCGATCGATTATGCGCCCTGCAAGTACTTCACGAAGGTATGGAATTGGTGATATCATGACCGTTTGTTCCTTGCACCGAGCTATGCTCAATCGACCCTGATACCACATGGGGCTGACCGCATTTGGGGACAATTATAGGGAAATTGTAAATTTGGAGCAAAGTGTGCACTGGCGCATATTCTACCCGATGGTCGCCGAGTCAATCGTCCCAGTCCGGGAATGGCAATGGGAGGAAGTCATCTGAATCTGGGCGGGCGTGTCAACCCACAGGCCTATGTCAACCAGGACTCCGCGCTGACGAACTCGGTTCTTTCCCAACAACGACTGAATGGCCATGATCCCCGGTATAGCTCTCAGATGCCACCCCAGGATGAATATACTCCGTTGCATGCGCAACAGCAACAGCAGCAGCAGCAGCAGCCCCCTTATGATGCCATCCCTACCATTGATACTGGATTGGTTTCGGATGCTGGCTCCAAGTACGGCTCACCGGTCGACGATCTGCGCTTCCCCATGTCGCCAAGCCATCATCATCATTTAACTGCACTTGATGCCCCACTTCCTGCATCTTTTGATAGCCAGGGGATCTCGCACGCCGCTCGTTATGGCCCGGTTGCGGCCTCTGTGCCCTCCAAATTCGGACTGGAGTTGTCTCCGCCAGCGCAGCGGATGGGCGCTGCGCCGTCAGATGCACTGCGGAATCTTCGGGATACAGCTTACGGCCCCAATGACTTGAGAAAGCCATCTTCCTCTTTCATCGGTTCATCACCGCCTGATCTTCTCAATGACAGTATCGGACCACGGTTCCTACACTCCCAGCGGCCTATAAAATCACGAGTGTTCTCTGCTAGCGTTCCTCGGCCCACTGCGCTGGATGACTGGGATGAAAGCAATTTCCCAATGGAGGAAGATTACTTGCCGATGAATCTGCATGACGACGTTTTGACACCGCAGGAGCGACTTCGGCGGTTGTCGCGCACTGACCACGATCTTAGTGGACTGGGCATGAGTGGGACAAGTTTCTCAAAAGTTGGATCGCCTCTTGCCTCTAGCCCATCTCGTTTCGGCGCTCTGTTTGCCAAACAGCGACAGAGAAAGGAGGAAGATGTCCACGGCACCTCGCTTACTCACATTGGATCTCCCCTTCGCGAATCTTCTCTCAACCTGGGAACCAGCCCCAGCTTAGGCCCAATCGGTAGCCGGAGTCCATCTCGTCAGTCATCGATGTCAATGATCTCGCAACAGTTAAGCAGCGTCTCTCTGCACCCTGGCTCGGCTCGTCATTCATCATCTGTGGGTGCCAGCAGCCGCCTTGACCGGACCGTCTCATCTCCAGTTAGCACTAGCAAGATTGATGAGGAACAGGGCGACCTGGTCTTCTCCATGGAAGAAGAGGAGAATAATAAGCGAAACAGCGCTTCTTGGAGTCCACACAAGGCTGATTCCAATGACGACGACGTCTCAACACCGACGAGTAACTCTGGGTTCCAGCCATAAATTTAGCTGAAGAATACTGGTCTGGACCCAATACTCGGCCATTGCTACTGCATGTATACAATATACGAGGGGAAAAACCAAAAGCATATGATAACAAAAAAGGGCAAAGGGAAAACAAAAAAAGCACCACAGGTTGGTACCAGTCCATGATAATGTCCATAAGTCATCGTCATCATTAAAAAGGATATACCGAGTGCTCTAGGCTTCGGCGCTATTGGAGGGCATTTTGCATAGAACAGTTCAGCGATCTCCAGGAGTTATACAACAGCCCTCTTTCCTCTTTCTTATTAATCTTGTGTCTTTTTGCATATTGCGGGCTTTTAGACCGATTTGGGGAACTTGTTTTGGACACGCACTCTTGGTAGATCAGGTTGCGAAAGACCACTTCTTTCCATGATCCGAAATATAGCTTATGTCTCCACCTCGTAGACAAGTCTACACTGACACTGTGCTGTTGCATTCTGACAAGCACAGATGGATTGCTAGGAGGGTAAAGATGTAGGTTGTGACACATATATACGAAGTTATAACGGAGTGACCTTCCTAAAAGAAAACATCGACTGCATTTAACGTACTACTATACATGAGAACATGGACTTGACGAACAAAAATTCATCTACGATTGAGTTTGGTCGGGTAACAAGAGGCTATCGAGGATGATGATGAAGACGACGACATCGCCATCCGTCCAAAGCAAGTTCCGTGGTTGTACCCTCATCCTACCTAGCTCGTGGCAATCCAGTGGGCAGTCTTTGTCTCACTGAGCATTCGAGGGAATTAAGCCGTAGTCGATTCAAGACAGTTCCTTCGCAACAAATCAAGCTTTAGGTCCAATGTCGCTCAGGTACATGGCGTTACCTTTAAGGCTGATGTAGCTCGGCGGCTGCGAGTTTGCCAATATCCGCGCGGTTTCCTGCTGGGACATGTGGTCGGCAAGAAGCCTTTGTTCGTGAGCTTTGGCATCTGCCTGTCGGATACTTTCCGCCTGGTCCTGATACAGGATTTCGTAAAGCTGACCTGTGCCCTGCGTGATCTGGGACGTCAAATTTTCCACGGCCCTAGTTGTCAGAGCGTCCACCCGAGCGGCGAGAGTTGTCTCAATGTCAGCTCGCTGTCGCTTAGCATCTGCTTCTCGCTCGGCCTGTTCATCCATCTCTTTGCGCTTCTTGGCCTCCACCAACCTTCTCCGCTCCTCTTTGGCAGCTAGATATTTGAGTGAATGGCCTAGCTTTTGCTGAACGGATGGGACTACATCAAGCGGCGGGCTGGAGAAGAATAGCACGCGACCCTGGTCATCACAGTGGAACTGTTCACGTATGTCGGCCGGGATGGCAGCATTCGCGGAATCGCTCAAATGGAAGACTTCGATCGGACGAGGAGCGTTGGGATTGTACATTCCCATGGGAGGAACCGGCAACCGGCCGCCAGAATATGCGTTATATGGTGTTTGTTGAGCGGCCGCGTATGGGTGAGACATGGCCGTCGTTTGGTAGGTAGCCGGGTGAGGTGTTTGAGGGACGAATGCGCTAGCACGCTTCTGCAAGGCAGGCTGATAAGCCTGGGTTGGGGGAATCTGGGGTTGATGGAAATTTACCGGAGGAGCTGGTGCCGGTGAGCTCTGGGCCGGAGGAATAGGTGCAGCTGGGGATCGGACCGCCGCCACAGTTCCAGCCGTCACGCCGGTGCTTTGATTGTCTATACTGGGCCGTCCAGACGACTGAGGGATCGATGGCTGTCGAGGTGGAGCTGGGGGCAAGGTTGGTGGTGGCAGGGACGGAGGTGGTGACGGGGTTGGTTCTGGAGGAGGAGATTCCTGGTAAAGCGTAGATCCTGTCAGTGATGCCAATAACCAGCAGTGGAAGAGGGGGGAAGGGGTTTGGAAAAGCTTACGTTCTCATCTCGAGGGCGGCGATGAACTGCACCGACGACAGGAGGTGCATTCTCGGCCCCCCAAGTCGGTTTGGGCAGGTCATCGGTCTCCTTCGCATCGCTCTTCAGCAAATGCTTGATTGGGCTGGGGATCTTCTTGATCCTTCGGGGAGCATCAAACAAATCCATCTCGTAGTCCTTTTCCCTGACTTCATCGGGGAGACAACTCGCCCACGTTTTAATCTTGTTCAGTTTATGCTTCTCTTCATTGTACCGAGCCTCGCAGACGTAGACATCTTTGTCGGGCGGAAGACCTCGGGGTCGACCACGATTATAGCGAGTGAAGAACATCACGAAGCAACGATCCACAATCTCCTCCACCCGGTGATCACGATATTGACCAGTCTTGACCACTTCATTGGGGTAGAAATGCTTCTCGAAGTGATGGACAGTTTGCTCTGGGCGATAGTACCAACAAGCGTTGATCCATTTCTCACCCTCAGAATCCTGCCATGTGCGGTAAATCTGGGCGACAATGGGTTTCGTCACGTCATTCGGGTTCTGAATATGTACCCAGTCGCCAACCTTCCACAGCTCGCTCTTGTGCAGGATGCCATCCGGGAGGGGCAAGCGTCCATCCTCCATCAAGTACTCACTGTCCGGCTTCTTCTTCTCGTGCTCCGCCAGTTTGCGTGCTTCCAATTGCAAGTCAACCGCATCCTTATAGATTTGACTCTCTGGCTGGTTGTAGGCCTTTGCGTTGTTAAACATGAGGTCCATGTCTCTCATGAAATGGTCCACGGAATTGTACTTCTTCCGCTTCGACTTCCGCTTGATAATGTCGATAGCAATGGGTTCTCTGATTTCCATGTAATAGTCCGGGTAGGTGGCCTTGTCGGGCAATCGCTCGAAATGTCGCACCTTGAGTTGGCTACCAGGGCCCTTCAGCTTCCGAATACCCTTTAAGACAGCTTTGATTCTAGCCTCCATCGGGGTATCAACACGCGGTGGTCGTCCACGTTTCTTCCTCAGTTCGGGATCGTTCGACTTTTGACCGTCATCTTTGCCACCGTCCCGTTTACCACCCGGACGAGGGCCCTTTTTCTTCTTCCGTCGGCTCTCATCATCCGAATCTTCCTCATCCTCTTCGTCTTCTTCATCCTCGTCTTCCTCTTCCTCTTCCTCGGGAAGAGGATCGGCCTCGGGGATTTCCCCCAGATCGGGAAGTTCAGCCTCTTCTGCAGTGATGATCCCTTGATCAACCAGTTTTCGAAACTCGGCAATGAAGACATCCTTTTGTTGTCAAAGTTGCAGTCAGCGAAACTGAACATGAACGCATCGATAGCCGAAAGTAGAGCCCGAGTTTCTACAGACCTTTATCACGAGCGCATCTTCGTACGCTTGGGATTTGGGGCGGTTGTAGGTTTGCGCATTGTGAGGGATCTAGCGAACAGGATTAACGTAAGCTAACTACGAACCCCGGATGGCGAAAGAGCCAAAGTGATGCAACATACTAGGGCACAGTCGCGCACGAACTCCGAGAAGCTCTTATACTCGCGCTTGTTGATCTTCTGTTTAAGAATGCTTAGAGCCATAGGCTCCTTGATGATATCGTAATAATCGGGAACATTGCGTTTGTTGACGCTTCGCTGGAACAGTCTTGATGGATCATGGCCACTGCAACCCGTGGGGAAGAAGGGGATTGTCAGTCTGAATTGAGGGACACGATCCAGCCTCGGACAGAATGCGACTCAGCGCGGCGAATCTCCTCCGGGGTCCAACCCGCAGGACAAGGGGATTGGAGAACTTACTCCTCTTCTCTGAATTCATAGATAGCCAAAACCACATTCATCATTGACCTCCATTGATCATCTGTGATCCCATCGGTGGGAGCCTGACCGTCGGTCTGGCCATCGTTCTCGATCGACTTGACCGGTTCCTCAGGAGCAGGTTGAGGTTGCGCTTGCGACGGCTCCGGTTCCATACTGTAGACGGCCGCGGCCACGCAAGAAACGGCACGCAGATCAGGGCCCAAACCCACTCGTCAGTCTTGATTTCAAGATATCCTGTCAGTCGAGCACATCGACAGCGGGAGCTGATCTGGGGTGCGAACAGGAGTACAATGAGCGCAAAAGCGCACAAGGACGAGATTCGCGCAGCAACTATGCTGACTCATCAGGTAGCTTCAAGAGTCTGTGACGATACATGTAATATTACATACTACGTATAATCAGCGTCCTTGTTTTATTACATCTACATACAATATACATACTAACATACCTTACTTCCAGGCTGCACCGCCACTTACCCGCCTCCGCCGCGGTCAGGCATTACTACTATCGCTCCTCCTGCGGCGGAGATAAACCCTCCCCCGATTGTTCAGGTGCCGGCTTCGATTGCTGGTCAATTGTCTTCCCCCCAGCCTTTATCAATCACCCCGACTGCAGCAACTGTTCTTGAAGCAGATTACTGGACTCTGAATATCTTTCGCACACCATCCAGAATCTATATCTATATACACACCTTTACCAATCCACCACCCCGCTAGCGTTCGCGATACTACGTCACAAGGGAGAATGAGGATCCGGATTCGCGGTCCGGCGGGACAGTCCACCGTCACGCTGGATGCAGATGCAACTGTCGACGACCTCCGGCACCAAATCACGGAGAAAACGGGGCTGACGGCGTACGATGTAAAATATGGATATCCAAATATCAAGCCCTTGGTGCTAGGCGCGCTTCCTTCGAAGCAGAAACTAGCAGATCTTGACATTACCCTGAACGGGGAACAACTTATCGTCACACAGCAAGAGAACTCGGCTCATGCCCCGCTAAAGAACGAACCTCAAGCGGCAGATTCGCCGCTGAAAGCGCCAGTTGTAGGCAGCACACATAAGAAGGGTTCTCCTGATGATCCGCCGGAGGTCCCCTCGCCTGACCATAGCGGAACCTTCGTTCTCCGAATCATGCCCGATGACAACTCTTGTCTCTTTCGTGCAGTGAGTAGTGCGACTATGGGAGGAGTAGATGCCATGACCGAATTACGATCTGTTGTTGCGCAAACAATCCAAGCGCACCCAGACCTTTATACTGAGGCAGTATTGGAAAAGAAGCCGGATGAATACTGCCGCTGGATTCAGAATGAGGACTCTTGGGGTGGTGGTATTGAGCTGAGCATTCTGAGCAAGCATTTCGACATTGAGATATGCTCCATAGATGTGCAGACCCTTCGCATCGATCGCTTTAACGAAGGCGCCCCGATGCGGTGTATCGTGGTCTATTCGGGAATCCACTACGATACAATCGCTTTGTCGCCTTCTAGTCCGCCCTATACCCACTCAGATGTGCCTCCTGACTTTGATACAAAAGTCTTCGACGCTGCAGATCCATTGGTACTCGAGAAGTCGCAGGAACTCTGTCAGGTTCTGCAAACCAGGCATTACTACACTGACACAGCTGGGTTTCGTCTTCGTTGCAATACGTGCGGAGGGACATTCGTCGGAGAGAGAGGTGCTACACAACATGCTGAACAAACAGGACATGTTGATTTCGGCGAGGCTGGCTGAACAGAACCTGTGCTAGCTGAGTGAGCATCCATCTTCCTAGATATATACGACACTAAATATTATAATGTGGCTGTTGGTGAAAGCCGCAACTCCTAAATTACTAGACTTAGAGGTCGGGTATCCCCCTACTTTCAGTGCGGCTAAATGAATCAGTTCTTCAGTCTACATGTCTTCCCTGGCTCCCTCGTTCAGTAGTTGTACTTGCTAGAGAATATATCGCCTGGACCCAAGGAACCATTCTTTGAAAATGTCCGTTTAATAATAAAGCGATCGCAAATAGTAGGTTAGAGGTTGTTTTATTATCATCAAACCAGGAGTCATTATCATACATTGGCTCGGGAGCTCTATATCATTGCTACTTCGTCCGCTTCTCCATCATCCTTATCCTCATCTTCTTCCCCAGTGTCTGCGCTATCGTCGGGGTCCCCTCCCCACTCCACATCATGGTCTATAGGGTCAGTGAAAAACTCATGTTGTAGGGCTTCCTTGGCACTAAGGCGCTTGTAGGGATCCAGCTCCATGAGGCCAGCCAGTAATCGAGTGGCCTGTTTCTCACTTTCAGTTAGCTCTTCGACACAGCTGGCCCATTTCACAAGTTTCTCCCAGCTATACCCCTTTTCACCGATGGTCGGGATATTTGTTTCGAATATCTGCCCATGCATGGCTGCAGCAGCTTTCATGCGTCGAGTGCCGAAGATACTCGCCATCTCAATCATAGCGTCAACATCATCAGCGGAGTTAAAAAAAGGAAAGCGGCGTCCAAGTAGGGTCAAGAGAATGACGCCGGCGGACCACATATCTATTTTGGTTGTCTGAGAAGTGCACTTGAAGAGGACTTCAGGTGCACGAAACCCACGCGTTCCTGCTCGATTAGCGCGCCTTGATGGTCGTGAGTCGTTCTTAGGATAGCCAGCTGATAATGTCGTCGGTGAACAATGAGTGCTGTGATAACTGTGGTTATATCTACTACGGCGTATGTAAGCTGCATTTGCGCACAGGCAGGTACCTGTGTACTCAGAACCCTCACGCTATGACCGCAAGTCAGTATGTTGTCGCCTCGTATGACCAGTGGATCTACTCACTTCTGCAAGCCCGAAATCGACTAACACGCCTTCTCGAAGATCAGGATTATAGAGGAAATTACTGCCAAGGCTATAAGTTAGCATCCGGCAAGTATCGAAGACATGGTGGAATAGCGCGTAGTCCTTACGTTGGCTTGATATCGCGATGGAGAATGTTATGTTTATGGACGGAGTGCAGTGCAGTGAACAGTGACCGGAAATAATGTCGCATATCAGCAACCAGGAATGTGCGATACTGAATGCGAAAGTCGGTGTGTGGGAAGAAGGGTAGAACGGCCACAACTTGATCCTGGTAGCGGAAAGCCGTGATTAACGGGCATACTGATCGGCAACCCCGAAGATCATGTAGCAGCTCAAGTTCATTTTGAATGCGATGGGGACTACTAGTCACATAGATCTTTTTCAATGCAACGAACCGTGGCTTCCTTCGTTTGACTGGAATCGAGCGGCCGTTATCACCTTCCACCCGGCGTCTTTTAGACGGTTGGTCCGTCCAACTGTCCGTGTGATTGCCTTGGAAAGTGTCCCAGTCGTTTTCATAGTGGTCGTACAAGAGGTCCTCTGCTTTGTACACGGTGGAAAAGGTACCTGTAAACCCATGGCCAGCCGGTCAGTCCGTCGGTGCAAGTAGAAGCAGCTACTATGTGGGAGGACACAGCCAAGGGCAAGTTAATCGGCTGCACTATACCTTCTCCGATTCTATTCAACAGCCGAAATCTATCAGATATGCCGGGGAATGTGTCCTCGAGTTTTCTCATATCCTCTTTCACTGATTCATCAACATCCTCTTTGTCTTGAGCGTCACCCTCCTCGTACTCCACCTCTTCTCGAATTTGCTCTATCGATCCATCACTATCTGTGGCTGCACTGTCCTCTCTAACATATTTGGGGCCTTGGGTCGCAGCGACAGGTTGCTGTATGCCGAAGGTATCGGTAGGAACTGCATGAAGAGCGGACATCGCAATGAGGACCGCTTGGAAGGGCTGTTACAGACTAGCAGGGAAGATCACTGAGTGATAGCTTGATCAGCAGAACCTGGCAGCAACACGACAAAACAGGTGCAATAAGACTGAAAATGATATAGTCGTGCTTCAGGAAGGAAAGGAAGGCGTGAGGTTATGAAAATATGCGAATGAGTGCAGGGTGGTATTGCTAGATCAAGTCGCGCACGCGCACATACACGTGTGGATAGGTATGAGGAGAAGCCCCAGTCCTGTTGTAGTGTTGTGGTGAGGGAAGTCGGTCGTCGCTCCCACTGTTTTCCAGCAACAATCCAAAGATGCTCCAAACAGCATGCAAAACCGCCGCACCAGGAACCAGACTTGTTTGTTTACTCGTTTGTAGTTACATGAATCATATAAACGTAATTTTCATATTACAAGTATTGACAGGAAACAACCACAAAGCGGAAGGGTCTGAAGCAAACCTATCAGATTACATGTTGCTGGTGTACTGGTAGCCGTTTGCAGTATATGTTGGTTGTAATGCTGTAATTTGTATTTCTCAAGACCTGCTACAATACGGGATAGCGGCGTGAGAGTGTAATTATTGAGGGTTGAAGCGTGTGACATAATTTACTGGTACGCAACCCTCAGCCCCCGCCGCCTCACAACCACCTACCAAAAGGGAAAGATACAAACAAATGAAGCCCGCCGCCCGTCATTTCTTCCCTGCGGCTCTCCTTCCCCTCCAACATCCCCCCCCCCCCCCAATTCAACAACCCCCTCCTTCCGGCTCGCTACCTACACATATATTGCTTTCGCAACACGCCTCTTGGCCTCATCGCTTTTGATAAAGCTATATGCCCTTCGGGGATAACCCTCGCAGTGGCCGATCATGGAGGACCGAATTCAATTCGACATAAACGAGTCGCTGAAACACTATCTGAGCGACCCGGCCTCTGTCCCTACTCCCGATGCTGATCCAGAGCTGCTCGACTGCGAGACCGATCCGGACCAACTGTCTAGCGCTCTGATTGACAATGTCTTGAATCCCATCGTTGATGCGGTCGCGGAAAACCCAGAAGGACTGGCCCGATCGTCTTCTTTCGATTCGCTGCAGTTTCTGTTGAAGTGCGTCCTGTCCCCTGATATGTTCCTCTCATCCTCGGGATGTCTTCATTATCTATAGAAATGTTTCTAAACCCCCTTATTTGCGCAGGTATTGCTCGTTTTCCCCCACTAGGTCTCTCAGCAAGCTTCTTGATTTAATCGTTTCCGGCTTATCGGTCGAAGCGGACATAATACATGGGGAGCTTGAATCCGATGAGCAGGATGGCATACAGCATCACAAGCAGCTCTTGGAAATGTATGGGTTTCTTCTCCAATGGGCTCTTAGTGCCGTAGAGGTCAAAGCTGCAGAAAAGCCCACAGAGCCTGTACCCGCCCGCAGAGGCGCAGGGAAATCAGCCAGATCTAAAACGAACGCCAAAGATGGAAACTGGGACTGGACCGCGCAGATTCAGATCTCGATGGAGACGATGTGCAAGGTGATGAAGCTTAAACTCAGCAGAATATTTCTGACGACATCTGACCGCGATACATTCATCAATCTGTTCACCCGCTCAATTTACCTTATCCTCGAAAGCGAACAACGCGTCAAGAGTATGAGCATTCGGATGCATGCATTTAAGGTTCTTTGCATCGCAGTTAAGCACCACGGCCATGCATTCGGTAAGTTGCTCTGAGTCAGCTAACTGAGGTAGGAACCCAATAACTAACTCACCAGATAGGTGCCCAGACCTCCATCGTACAGAGCTTGACATATTTTGAGCACCTCTCAGAACCTATGGCGGAGTTCTTGCATATCTTGGCAGAACAATATGATTATCCTCAGCTCTCGGATGAAATACTGAAGTACGTAGCATACTTTAACTTGTATGTCCACAGGAACACTTCCGGCTTACGTTTGTTAGGGAGCTTGGAAACAAAGAATTCAATTCTAATGACACACGCGGTCCTAAGTCGGTGTCAGCGTTCATTGTGAAACTCTCAGAGCTGGCCCCACGACTTATCATCAAGCAAATGACTCTTTTGGCTAAGCAGCTGGACAGCGAGGTGATTACGCACACTCTCCCATCGTGCCAGTTACTGAGTATCTAATATTCTATAGTCATACACCCTTCGTTGTGCAGTAATCGAAGTCTGCGGGAATCTCATCGCCGATCTAAGCCGGCAAGAGGAGCGGAGTGACAACTACAAAACGCAGATCAACGCATTTTTCGATGTGCTTGAAGAGCGCTTTCTGGATATCAATCCTTACTGTCGATGCAGAGCTATCCAGGTTTACATGAGGATTTGTGACCTGGAACAGAAATTCCCCAAGCGACGCCAGGCTGTAGCGGAGCTGGCAGCAAGGAGCTTAGAGGACAAGAGCAGCAACGTGCGCCGGAATGCGATACGATTGCTGGCAAAGCTGGTATCAACTCACCCTTTCAGTGTCATGCACGGTGGGCAACTCTCGCATAAGGAATGGTCAGCTAGACTTGACACTGTGGATGCTGAACTGAATGCGTTGAGACCTCCCGAGACACCTGGTTTTGATGGGGCGGATGCATCGCATGTTGACAGTGCATTATTGGATGATGCCACTCAATTGCCGGAGGACTCCCCATCTAAAGCTTCGGGATTGACAGAGGAAGAGAAAGCCACAGCCATCAAGAAAGCTGCTGAACAGGCAGCTACTTCCGAGCTGCTAGCACGGCTACAGCTCACCAGAAAATATTACAATGAAGCCATCCGGTTCATCGAAGTCCTTCATTCCTCATCTGGCTTGGTCGCTCAGCTTTTATCGTCGAGGAACAAGAGTGAGGCCATTGAGGCCATGGACTTCTTTGTCGTGCTCGATGCCTACAAGGTCGAGACCTCCCGTAGCGGGATCCGGCGGATGCTGCGACTGATCTGGACGAAAGGTAATAGTGACGAAGGCAAGGGAGTTCAGACTCACTTGATCGACTGCTATAAAGGACTTTTCTTCGAGGCTCCAGATTCGTTTAGTCCCAATGACGCTGCAAATTATATCGCGCGAAACATGATCAGTCTAACGTTTGGGTCAACGCCCGCTGAACTGACATGTCTCGAACAACTATTGAGTACTATGATGAGGGCCGGCCACATTTCAGATGCCGTTATTGCGAAGCTCTGGCAGGTCTATGGTGTGCAAAAGAAAGAGATATCAAAGACGCAGCGTCGAGGAGCTATAATTGTCCTGGGCATGCTTGCTTTGGCAGATCCCGAGGTCGTCATAAAAGAAATTGAGACAATGTTGCGCATCGGCCTTGGAAGCCTGGGCAGATCTGACCTCGTGCTTGCAAAGTATACATGCATTGCATTGAGACGAATGGTGCCAGGTCGCCAAGCAAAGTCCAAGGACGTTGGTATCCCCAAACTGGGCAATGACCATGCAGTTTTGACGAAGCTCGGGGCTATAGTCGAATCGATATCTGATAGCAAAGAATGGTACGGTGTGGCGGAACAAGCCATTGGTGCTATTTATGCCCTGTCAAAGCATCCAGATGTTTTGTGCTCTGATATACTGAAACGGAAAACTAGATTCGTTTTTCAGCCACAGCTTCAACGATCCCCTTCCAAAGTTTCAGATGACGGAGAAGAACAACGACCTGAAACGGCTTCAACGGAATGTCAAGGAGCAAAGCAAGAAACGTCGTCTACTTCTTTATCCCAGCTTCTTTTTGTTGTCGGTCATATTGCCATTAAGCAGATTGTTCATCTTGAATTGTGTGAACTTGACTTTAAACGCCGCAAAGCAGAACAGGAGAAGAACAAAACAGCCAATACCTCCAACCAAAAGAACGACAATGCCGAAGATGATGAGCTTGACCTCATCGGTGGGACTACAGAAGATGATTTTCAGGATGCCATGGCACATATTCGAGAACGGGAATTGCTATACGGCGAGAATTCGCTCCTATCCAATTTTGGGCCGTTGGTTACAGAAATTTGCGCGAATAGCAACATCTATGCCGACCGCAACCTTCAGGCGGCGGCAACTCTGTGCATGGCCAAGTTGATGTGTGTCTCGGCAGACTATTGCGAGAAAAACTTGCCACTTTTGATTACCATCATGGAGCGTTCTGAAGATCCAACGGTCCGCAGTAACGCCGTGATCGCTTTAGGAGACATGGCAGTTTGTTTTAACCATCTGATCGATGAAAATACAGACTTCTTGTATCGTCGACTGAACGATGACGAAGCTTCGGTGAAGCGCACTTGTCTCATGACGCTTACATTCCTTATTTTAGCCGGTCAGGTCAAGGTCAAAGGGCAGCTGGGCGAGATGGCTAAGTGTCTCGAGGATGAAGATAAGCGTATTGCTGACCTTGCCCGCATGTTTTTCACTGAGCTGGCGGGCAAAGACAACGCAGTCTACAACCACTTCGTTGATATGTTCAGCCTTCTTAGTGCTGAACGTAATCTCGAGGAGGCCTCATTGAGGCGTATCGTTAAATTCCTGATAGGCTTCGTTGAAAAGGTAAGTCTCCATTGGGACACCTCACATAAAATAATCTATGCCTTCATGTGCTGACCACTTTTGCGCTCGCAGGAGAAACACGCCCGGCAATTAGCTGAGAAACTGGCTGCTCGACTTCCCAGATGTGAGACCGAGCGGCAGTGGAATGACGTTGCTTATGCCTTGTCTCTTCTTCCTCACAAGAATGAAGAAATAACGAAGACAGTAACTGCAGGATTCAACAAAGTTGTCACGGCGAACGCCTAGGCTGATGAAATTATGCTTCATAATGATAACTTGGGATTTTGGTCTCTACATCGGCGCATAAATGGGGGCCCAGCGGCGTTTTGCGGTCGGATGTCTGCGAAGGAACTACGGATGGATGTGCTTAAATTTCTTTTCTATTTTTCTTTACCCTCTCTTCCTTTACTTATCTCGTGTTTAGTATATGTAAGGGGGACTAACCTTATGGCCTGATGGGCAGCTAGTCCCAATGGAATTGTACAGTGGACCCCGGTTTCTGTGACCCCTATATTTTGTGGAATTTCACAATAATTAAAAATGTCATCGACATACTGTATGTGCTGCTGCGGTGATCCAACTGCCTGCAAGGCACCTACTGTAAGTTGGCAACGGCCATAATTGTTGGAAAAGAATAGAAAAGAAACGCCAATCGTGTCCGAGATATCCTGGTAGGTCGTATGCTGGGTGGGATAGGAGGCCAAGAAAAGAGCGAAGTCCCTCAGTACAGCCATTATTCTATCTTCACGGTTGTAGAACTTTTCTTGACGATAGCTTGTATCTACGAGTTGGCCCCGCCACTGGATGAAAGAGATCTAAAATCATTAAATGCTTTCTTCCTATAGGCACAGCAGACAAAGGTGTAATCCCGAGGCAACCAAAAGAAGTTTAGGAAGACCGAACAAACAAATACCTCTAATTATATGTCGCCAAAACAATTTCTTCGCATACGCCAGATTCAAGTGATTGCGTCCATATACAATCGGACCTATAAAGATAACGCCTCTATGCACCCTTCGTTACACTCTCGTCCAACCTATAATCACCGCTGCGTAGCCCTTCAAGTACCTTCAACCCTTCATCTGTTAGCTCGGGTCTTCCCAAAGGTGTAACAGCGCCGGTGAAGAAACGAGGCTGCCACGTTTCGTTCTTGTTCTGACGCTCTGCGGCCTTTTGTCGTTGTCGTTCCTCGATGTCTTGCTTGAGCTTGGTGGCCTGGCCGTACTTTTTGTCGACGATCGCTTCGGTGACCAAGGACCAAAACTTGCGAGATTCGTTGGATAGTTGACTCTCTTCTGGAGGCAGCGTCTTCGCGACTGGGAAGAGGGGTGTGACATCGATCAAAAGCCGAGGTTCGTTTGTACCGGCCAACGTGTAGAAAACTTGTCCATGCCAAGAGCCACTGATCCGGGCAAGAACATCGCCTTCGGGTACATCTTTGATTCTCGTAGTCACATCCTTATCCGGATCGTACTGGAAGATCACACCCTCAACCTTATTCTGCGCCCGACCAATCCAGCCCTCCTCCAGGTACTGTAAAATGACCTTGATGCGCGTCTTCGCACAAGTGATGTAGCAAGTGTCCGAGACAGAGATCGCCAAAGCGCCTCTGAGGAGACCACCAAGGTGTGCTGCAGGATGAGTCAAGTGGTATTCCTCATCATCTCTGTTTTTCAAGTTGACGAATATTCCCAGGTTATGCTGGCCAGGAGCGACCCGGATGCTGGTGCCGGTGAACTTGGCACTGATCTGGTCGAAACCACGCGCCGAGACCCCTGTATCCGGGCAGTCTATAAAAAAAGCCGAAACCGGAGGGTGGTGAGAAGTTTGTTCAGTTAAGTAGCATATCTTGACGGAATCTGCGCTGCTATTCTTTGCGTTGGAGGAAGTTTTTGGAGTCGGCGAGACTTCTGGGAGCGTCTGATCTACTTCCCAAGTGCACTAATTCCAGGCGAGTCAGAACATGCCATTAACTTAGGCCACGAGGGCTCCGTTTCAAACCTACTCTGAAGAATTCCCCCAAGGTAGAATTGTACGGCTTGCATGGTTTGCCTTTGATGTATTTCTGTGATCTGGTCAATGACCTGCCACTGATTGACAATGCATCTTGAATGAGGGCAGTATACCAAGTCCTTGGTGAACCAAAATCTCAAAACCTCCAGCGTACGTCCCAGCGGATCTTCCGATTGACCAATGCTGTGACAACCATGTCAGAGAACAACAAGCCCTAATGATGAACAGGCTATCTTGCTGACCTTGCAAAGGCCTCCGGTCTGTCTAGGTAATTCCAGTATTCTGATTGAGGAAAGGAGATCTATATTAGCAATCTGCGAAGGGGAGATGACTCTCGTGCGATAGATAGCACAGGAGACAGCTTACCCAGATTTGGCGTGGGTTCTAGAAGATGCGCAGGCAATGAGAAACGAACAGACGCGATGTCGGCTACTCCGACGAACCTGGCAAGACCATCCAGACCTATCAGCACAGACTATCGGAGAGAGGTACCGGGCAGTGAGCAACGGTGTAGCTAGCCCATGTCAAAATCCCACGTACTTGCGGAGAATGGACAAGAAAGTCTTCAACTTGGAAGAATCATCAGGTGCCTTCTCAGGAGTGTCTTGGACTGTAGTTGAAGACATGATGGCACTCTATGCGTCTGGAGATAGTATAGCGAATCTGGGAGGGATAAGAGAGATGGTGTTCTTTGCGTAGCTTGTGGCGAAAAGGGTCGATGGTTGAGTGTCGGAGCGAGATCTGCGGTGTGCACCGGGCAGCCACCCAGACGATCACAGGACTTGAGTGATGGGAAGGGAAAAAAGGATAGGCTTGCACAGCGAGTACAGGCACGGGAATAAGCAAGCAGATGAGGACCAGCCAGAGATAGCAACAAAAGCAAGGCAAAAAAAAAAGGCCGCAAAAGTGCTGGAGAAACGATAATAAGAAGAATAATTAATGCGGCGGGCGCGTGCACTGACTTCCAGGCGGTGACGTCCCTCTTGTCTTTCTACGTCACTGTCACCGACACACGCAATTGGTTGGGAGAGAGGAGAGACCAAGAACGGACTGACTAAGAAAGAAAAGGGGGTAAAATTAAAATAAAAAAGAACGAGTAGTTAACTAGTTATGATTAAGAAGAAAACAAGACAAAATAGTCAAATAAGTAGTCACGCAGGCCAGCCTGCAGATAATGACTGTCAGTGGCACTGGCAGTAGTCGAATCTTGCTTGTACTCCTGAATTGTTTGAAGTGGGGATTACCCACTGATTCATGTAGATAAAGGGGACGCGAAGAAGCATGGAGAGAATAGGGGGGAATGAACAGGGTGAAGGAAAGAAGTAGTAATAGTAGTACTGTTAAGGGCCGCTCAGCCAACTTAAACTAATATTTACTACTCTGTACTTGTGTTCAGTAGTAGAAAGTAAAGGAACATTCTGCTGAAAAGATGGGAAGGCCGTGGAAGGCAGGGAGAGACTGGAAATTCGGAACCGAATTGGAATGATGATGGAAAAGAAGGAAGAAAAGACCGAAAATGGGTTGTCGTCCAATCGGCGCATCACGAGGCTCCTTGTCCGGCCCTCCTTGGGCTTTACTAACTTGTTACTACTAACTAGTAAGTTAGTTAGGTAACAGTACCTATGTACCCTCTAGGTACTAGTGAGTAAGTAGAACATTATGTAAACTTTGTTCTTCCCATTCATTTATTCTGTGCACACTACACACATGATATACTTACACTTGGCTCCTACTGCATGCACGAAGCTATATCCGTCCTCGCTTCTTATCTACATGCAATAATATATCAAGCGTAAGTACTCCATCCGTATGGACTCTCCCTCCGCTTTCCATGTTTTACCTCATATCATGACACCTCCCACAGCCTCCATAGTTTCGATGACCGAGTAATCAAAGTCACCGGACAGTAACGATCATCGGACACAAAACTACTATTTTATGTCTATTCAACGCTAATGTAGTCATCCGCCGTGGAGTGCTCCTAGGGCACGCTCTACGTAGAACAGTCAAACATTATTTTTCTTCCAATCCCCTTTGGTGGAGAAGGACGACAAAGATAACGAGAACAACAGGATGTTCTGATGGAGTCTTCATAACAAGTCCTCTATCATCCTTTTGCGTGCTAGAAAGCGTAGCCACGTTCGAATAGCCGGGCCATAATCATATCTTCGTCCTTCAGCATAATCCTCATCCATTTGCTGAGACTGTTGCTCTTCTCGGATTGCTGCTCGTAGTTCCTGTTGAGCATGACCCAACCTCTGCCGATGATGAACAAGTTCTTCCACTGAACATGCCCGATATTCTTTCTCTTGTCTTTCATGGACGGTCACTTGGTCGATGATTTTCCTCGTCAACGCATAGCTTTCGTCCGGTCCCAGGATGGTATTTTCGTATATCGAATCCGCCAGAGTGGATTCAAGACCAGCAGAGCTCTCGGGACATGAGCTCAAGCGCTCTTGAATGATTTCTAGGCCCCTTACATTGGCAGCTAATTGATTGACAAGCTCAGGGAGCGGATCTCTAGCAACACTCAGGATAGAAAACTCTATCTGATCTTCTTCATATGCCTCCATTCTGGCGCGAATATCAGGCTTTACCAGGCTCAGCCAATCTTCATCCGATGCGCAAGAGCCTAAGGATCCGGCCCAGTCAGTGACAGATAGTTACCGTAATAGACTTGACATGACTTACCAAGCGCCTGAGGTTGACGTTCTAAGCCGTCGAACTTCCAAACTTTACCCAAGGCAGGGACGAAGGCAATGAAATGAAAACCCGCGTCTGCTTTATTATCAGCGGGCTTGTCCTTAGCTGGCCTACTTCGCTTGGATGTAGCCTCAGCTTTGAGCTGGTAGTCTGAGCTAAGCATGTCCATCTTCCTGCTGCCAAATTAATCAAGTGAGTGTCCAGTGGACGAAGCAATTACCTGGCGAATGAATTATGTATTCTTTTGACGAATTCGAAGTTACTTATTGCATCTCCCCTCAGTGCGGGTGTGAACGGCATGGTAAAGTCTTTGAAACTCTGTAGATTCTCCCCAAGGTCGATATTGGTGATGTTGTTGACGATGTTTAGAAGCGCCACACTGGCGCAAGCATTGCTGGCTGTCTGGGCTAGAATGTTAGTGGCAAGCTCTAGGGCTAGATCTGTAGACAGGGAAGACTGACCTGATTAGCAAACCAGAGGCCCTCCGGGCAGCTTGCTTCTTGCTTATCTGGATCATCCTCGCGCCAACGGAACAGGAAAATCAGACCATATATGGGTTTACTGTGGGTGTATAAGGTCTTGGTAATCAATAAACTAGATCATGGTATGCCACTTACTTCAGAAATGCCATCATCTCCTCGTCAAGTGACACGACCTCTTGGATTTTGATCCCTTTTACTCCGAACTCCCGGAGCATCACATTGAAAAGAGCCTGCAGAAAGATGATCAATCATGGCGCTCAACACCGTGGGAAGCAATGGAAATATCGGTCATAGAGCCATACAGGTTCCGAATCCAGCTCACAGAATCCATTCCAGGAATCCTGCTCGAATTTCGATGCCGGTGAGTAGTAACCGTCCAAACCCTCAATGCCATTGCCTACAGTGGCAGTCGGCTGGGTTCCAACCCGTCGGCGTTTGGCCTGATGGGTCATGATGCCAGTAGTTGTAGGTCCCTAGCTAGTTCGGAGGTTATAGATAGTGGAAGAGGAATGGTGGAAACCGAGCAAAGCATGGATCCACAGGGCTGGTCACCATGCAGAAGGGGCAGAGATCATGAGAAATGGACCGTAGTCTTACTGACGGTAGGGAGAAGCATGGAAGAGGCTCTCTCTGAGCCCACTTTAGAGAAACCAGCGTGTCAGGATTTGCCGTGTTACTAGCTACCTACCTGCTTGATCAAAGGGAGGATGGAGGACTAGTCGCTGTGTAACACATTTACCGGGGGACTACTACGGAGTACACTCCGTAGTCTATTACACCACGTGTACGGAGTACTGGGATACCAGGTACTTACGGCTTCCCGCAGCATCGATCTACTCCGTAGATATGGAGTGTCCATTCCAGAGGAGGCGAAGAAGTGGCCTTGTATATGATTACAGAGGAGTCTACTACGGCTCCCGTTGCATCTCAGTAAGGTCTCCCGTGGAGAGTAGTAGGTAGTTTAGTTTGTATACCAGTTACCTGAATCTACAGTAAGCGACACGCGTTTGCAGACGCGCGCTCTACTAGTACTAGTTTAGTTAGCGAAAGCATCCAATGGGCCTGTTTCCACCATGCAACACGTGATCTTCATACATCATTAACGGGATCCGAGCTGCAAACTGGAGCACTTCCGACAGCTAAAAAGCTAAACCCTTGCATTTACTTATTACTCTTGTCTAGCTAGGTCCCGGTATTTCACCACCTATTGTTCGGGACTTTTCACATTGTCAAGCACATTTACCAAATTATAAAGGAAACATAATAGATTTACAACGCGAGTACGTTATTAGTGTGCCAAATCTCGCCGAAGTTCTCTTTCAAATACGCGCAGCCCAACCTACTACTCACTAGCCTGTTTTCTTTTCCCTCGCGCTTTCTTTTTCTTTCGCAACATCGAACGGCTCAACAACCACTTTCCCCTGGTGAGTCCAAGACAACCGCCAGCCTCAGCAACTCTCGTGAGTAATTCATTCAAATTTCACAAACCATCCTTTCTAGAGCACAAAAAGCTCACCCTATTACGTCTACTATAGGTCTTTGTGCCCTTTTTTTGATGACCGCAGCATGCCATGAACGGTACTCCTCGACTTCGGTCTGCTTTCCCGCAGACACCACAACGAACTCCGAAGATCAGAGACTTGAGCTATTCCACATCTAAGCCGAAGCCCCGTGATTTAGAGCAGACGAAGAGTCTTTCAAAGATACCCGCACAAGATGCCAATCGACCACTCATACCAGTAGGGGTTATAGATGCCCCGTCGCAGCGACTTTACATTGCGGCTTTCTATGTAGCATTAAATGCTTGGCGAGTATACGAGTCTTGGACGGCATCCGATGATTTGGACTCGACTTGGTTATTCCTTAAATGGGCTGCTGTCGATGGTGTCTTTCTCTTCGGTCTACAGGCGCTGCGCATCCCGTGGCTAGAATGGGCTTTTCCCACTACACTTGCAATCTTCATTATTCACGTTGTCGGCAATGTATTCCTCATGTTTCGAATCCCCGTATGCTTGTCCACGTCGCCGCAGTAAAACAAAGAGCTTGCTAACTTGTAATTAGATCCCGGTTGGGACATGGATCGCTGGCATGGTCAAGTTGGCCTACGATAGAGAGCTGTCCATTTCTGAACGAAGTGTGAAGCCAGGTGATATCATTCACAACGCATCTCTTATTCTAGGAAAGCAGATCGTTCATATACTCCCCGAAGGGTAAGAGCCCCTAGTTTGGCAATTGACATAACTATTTGTATACGCTAACAAATCATGCAGTTCAGCTATACTAAACCCAGATCAAGTACCACTGTGCATCGACGCACAAAAGACTGCCATCGATTTGCCAATTCGAGTCAATCAAACGGATCCTATCCTTATCGAGTTGTTACGCCTAGATTACGACACCGGCGCAAATGAAACGATCATACTATCGTCCAAGCAGTTGAA